ATGAATCTCTCTGCATGCCCATTCACCTGCCTCCACCCGCCTCTGAGAGTCCTCTGTCCACTCTTCTCTGCTTCCCTTTTCACTCAGCGTCTCTCTGGTTTCTTTCACTTTGATTTACGTTGTTGAATTTGAGGAATCTTGTGAGGTTAAGAATTATTTACTCATACTTTGACTCAAGTCCAGGGACCCACAGACTGTGGGAAACTGTTAGCTGCATGAAAGAACACAACAGCTACACATAGCTTGTCATGGGCTGTGGCCTCTGCACATGTGAGGTGCTTGTCTTTGGTCCTGTGTCTGGTGCTGTCAAGGCCACGGTGGGCAAGCGTGGGTGGCTGAGCACTGAGTGATGGGGGAGATGCCCATTCACTGACGTACGGGCTGACGATAGAGCTCTGGGAACCAGCCGAAGCTGTGGGTTCCCTTTCTCCCACTGTAGCCTGACCATCTCAATAATTCCCAACAATCAGGATTTAAGTAGTGTCTAGTATTTATCAATTTCTAAAACACCTGACTGCCCAGGGAAACGGGTGCCCTGTGAACATTGATACTATTAAAAAGTTGGAATAACCTATTTGTTCTGAGTCTACAGTGAAAAGCCAAAGGGTTGGGGGGATGTGAATCTGCTCAGGGAACTGAAATAATGAATTAAAACTGACCTCAGTTGGAAAAACCTGAGAATTTCATGACCTTTTAGGTAAGTTAATGAGCAAAGACAAAGGTGTCTTTATTTGTTGAACCAGTTGCCTTGCACGCCCTCCTTATAGTCTTCCATACTATTCATCTTTGTGTCACTTGGCGTATCACTCTGCTTCCACAGTCGTTCTGTAATGGAAATGCACTCTGATGCTTTCCATACAATGGGCTGTCACTTCCACAGAAGAAGGAAAAAATATTAAATATATAAAGAAAGAAAGAGTAAAACGAATAGAGACAGGTAAGAGGGCCACACGGCTCTGTCTGGTGCCGGGGATGACAAGACCATTAGTTGTGGAGAAAGCTAAGAAGTCAGTTAGCCGGCTTTCTTTGTGCCTATCACCCTGTGGAATATTGGTAAATTAGAACTTATGAATTTTAATTATTCCAATATTTACACAATAGTTTCTCTCTCTTTTTTTTTATTTGATTTATTTATTATGAGAGACAGACAGAGAGAGGCAGAGACACAGGCAGAGGGAGAAGCAGATTCCCTGTGGGGGACCACATCTCCTGATGCAGATGGGATCATGACCTGAGCCAAAGGCAGATGCTTAACCATGGAGCCACCCGGGTGCCCCCACAATAGTTTATTTTAAATGCAGACCCTCAAATAGCAATCAAGTATTCATCCATTTCTTTCTCTTTTTTTAAAAAATATTTTACTTGTCTATTTGAGAGAGAGAGAGAGAGAGAGAGAGAGAGAAGCAGTATACACATGAGGAGGAGGGACAGAGAGAATCCCAAGCAGACTCGCTGCTGAGCTGGGAGCCCAACGTGGGGGTGGATCCCAGGACCCTGAGCACATGACCTGAGCCAAAACCAAGAGTCAGAAACATAACTTACTGAGCCATCCAGGTGCCCCCTATTAATTCATTTCCTAAAGTTATGTTTAATTCATTGAACAACTGAAGAAAAGGTTGGAGAACTGGCCAGGGAGTAAAACTTTGAGGAAAGAGGGCCAGACCTCCTTTTGTCTGGGCTGTGGCCCTTCCCTCTACCCCTGGAGGATCTCCCCTCTAGAGGAGGAAGAGTGCAGGCACAAAAGATGATGGCACTGGGAAAAGAACTTGTCTAAAAGTCTGAAAACTTGAGTTAGTCCTGGACCAAATTGGAGCAGGCTCTGTGTCATCCTCCTTCCCTCCTTGGCACCTTCCAGCTCTAACCTGGGAGTGAGAAGGGTGCCGACGGCCGGGCCCCAGCTCCCGCCTTGCATGTCCTGGCTGTTGGAACACTTGCCCCAAAGGCTGGATGCTGTGCCTATGAGAATCCGTGCCCCCACCCCCACCCCGCAACAACCCTCCACCTCCCACTCAGGGCTGGGGGAATGCGTTTTACACTGAGCTTGTTCATTCTGTAACATGAGAATTCCTTTGGAATCAGAACCCATAGTACATTTGTGATTTCTGCTGTGAGTCCAAAAGTTATCCAGTAACATGGTTTCTGCTGTTGGCTGTCACCATGGTGAGGAGCGAGTGAACTCTACCCTGTGTCCATATAAGGCCGGGCTGCCCAGTGCTCGGGAAGCAGGGAGCTCTGCAGTGAGGCATTGTTATCCCCCCTTCAGAAGCACCGTGGGGAAATATATGGCAAGGGACCCAGGGCAGCTGTGGGAAAGAACGAAGTATGCACTCAGCTCTCTAACGGCGGAATCTGTCCAGCTGCTATTTTTATGCATTACATTACTTTTAAAAAATATCAATCCAAGAGTAGGACGGAAATAGCCCTGCTGTCTACAGAAACACATCTGGGTAAACTTGTTAATTAACAAATATTTAATGTACGTATACCAGGCTTAAGGAGCTATATCTCAATAAGCATTTTGATGAGGTAGATGCAAGTGTCCCAACAACAGATATCCCCACGGTGTTGTTTCTCTCTCCTCAGGAGTGGTTTTCTTACCACTTACCATCACCATTTCTGTCATCTTGGTGACTGATAACCAATGGCACACCTGAGTCCCTGTGTGGCTCTGTCCCTGAACCAACCACTCAGACAGCTGCCACATCTCAGCTTAATGTCATCATTACCTGGCTGAACAATTAGAGGCAAGTCAAACCCACATGGGGTTCTGGATTACTTGTGTTAACCAAATTCACAGGAAGGCGTCCAGTATCTGCTTTACCTAGCAAGGTCGAGAAATGGTCTTAGGCTACTTTGTTAATGAGGGCTGATGGGAAATACAAAGTTCTCCATGCAAATTTACTGAATTAGAATGACCTAGGGATCTTTAGAAATCTCCCTCCTAATAACTGCTCTGAGAAGACCTCTAGCATTTTAAGAGTACATAGTTATGTAGATGGCATTACATATTAAAATAAAATATAATGCTAAGTGAGATGAGTCAGACAGAGAAAGACAAATAACATATGACCTCACTCATATGTGGAAATTAAGAAGCAAAACAAACGAACAAACAAAAAAGAAAAAAGATAAACAAAAAGCCAGACTCTTAAATACAGAGAACAAACTGGTGGTTGCCAGATAAGTGGGTGTGGGGGGGGAAGGATGAGACAGATAAAGGGGATTGAGTGTGCACTTATCTTGATGAGCACAGAGGAATGTACACAACTGTTGAGTCATTATACTGTTGACCCAAAACTAACATAACACTGTATATTAATTATCCTTGAATTAAAAAAAATAATCAGAATGAACTACTTTTCCTAAAGAACAAAATTCACATGAAACCATTACGGGAAATGTTAACATATCGGTTCTGCATTAAACAATCACAAAAAAGTGAAAAAGAATAGACCTAGTAAACTTGTGCTCTGTTTGGGTTCTGTTTGGCTGATCACATGGAGAAGAATGCAGAATCTCTCTGGAGCTGAATTCTCTCCGACCCAGGCGAGGCCCACAGATATTTGTAAACCACTAATTTGTCTTCCTCATGCCCATATAAGGCCAAGCTGCCCAGTGCTTAGGGAGGGGAGAGCTCTGCAGCGAGGCATTGTCATCCCTGCTCCAGAAGCATCGCTGGGAAAGTCTATATAGCAAGGGACCCAGGGGGATTTTAAATCTCACCAAATGGCTTCTGTATATTTGAAAAAATACTCCATTCTTCTTAAATGCTGATGCAGAACCTTCAATTAGCAATTCTTAAAGCCTAACGTCCCTGTTCCAAGCAGAGGGACCACTGTTCCATCAACAGCAACAGCTGTCTTGGGGACTGCAGCTCTGAGAGGACACAGCATGTGGGGACAGCAGCCTTGGGTGCCTGGAGAGAAGTCTCCTCAGCGAGGATCTTGGGCATGGAGAGGAGGGTTGGTCAGTCACAGACCACCACAACTGTAAAGGGGTTCCTTGTCACAAATTTTACTCATTTGGCTTCTGGAGGAAACTCATGTAGGAGAAAGTGTGTGGCATAATACCTGGCTGCAGAGGCCAAGCTCCACTGAGACGAGTCCTCCTCCTGGGAGGTGGGAATGGGGTCTATAAACACCGATGGCAGGATTCAAGGTGGTGGGACGTGTTGAGAACACCAATGGGGTGCTGTAATTGGCAGTGACAGGGGATACAGGCCACACCTCCCAACTACCTATCCCAACCTGGCCCTGGTCCAGCAAGAGTCCCCCCAGGGAAGGGTGATCCCAAGGCATGAAGACTCAAAAGACTGTGTCATAAAACAAATACTGCTCACCACAAGAAAACGGGCTTAAACAGATAAATATAAATAATACGTTTTAAAAATCAGAAATGCCAGGCCCAAACATCAGCTTTAAATGGCAACAGGAAGGCCAGTCACTTTGAACATATTAAACCCAGTATCAGACCATAATTCAGGCGCTGCCATGTATCCTGGCAATGATGTGGAATGACCTTTTATCTCTGACTTACCTGATAAAATTTGCTATATAAAGGACATTCAGGGGATAAGTAGACTACTTTTGAGTATGAGACTGATTCTCTATGGCAGGATGCTTGTGCCCTCTTGTTTGAATGTCTACACTGGGGGGTAGACACAACCATGTTTTTTTTATGTAATATTTCTACAGAATAGATGTTTATGTATAAAATCATAGGCCTAAGACACAGTTGCATTATATATACATATCTATTCATAACAATGATCAAGAGAAAAGATGCGTAAGAAAGTTAACACTGGTCTCAATCTATTTCAGAAAGTGGTATAAATTGACCAAATTTTGCATTATATCATTGTTTGTTCCAATACAGAGGGGACATGTCTGTATTAAATTTGTCAGGAAGACATGCAGTTGACTCACTCAGGTGATTCAAGGCACTTTTGTCTTAAACAGAAGGCTAAGGAAGACAGTCGTTTCCCTGACTCGGTGACTCACCCTTCCTCCCTTCTCGGGGTAGCACTGGCAGCCTCCGCTGCAGTCTCTGCCTCCGCAGGGCACGTCAAACTTCTTCACGCCCTGCAAAAGCAAGCACAAAACACGTTATTGCAAACACCGTCAGCTACAACAGGCAGCACAACATCATCTGCTGAGAGCATGTCCAGCTCCAGCAACTAGCTTTTTATTCAAAACACAAACTTTAATCTTTAAAGTAGCTTTGGCTCATAGCAAAGGATACAGAGAGCTCTCATGTACCCCCTACCCACCTACACACGCAGCTGTCCCCACCACCAACGTCCCCCAGCAGAGTGGCACATGTGTCACAGTTGATGAGCCTACACTGACGAGGCACGGTCACCAAGAGTTTACATTACAGTCACTCTTGGCAATGAACTTTGTATGGTCAATATGCCTTTTAAAGGTTCCTGCTCAACACCAGATGCCATGCTAGGTCCTGGTCTTGAAAGTCAGGGAGAATGTTCCCTGAATCCAGGGATTCCGTGTGAAGTGAGCCCATGAGGACACTCTGTGTTAAGTACTTCAGCGTGAAGGAGAGACTCCAAGTGTGTAGGAAGCGTCCCTTCATTCTCCTGGAAATGTGGGGGATGCAGCCCCAAGGAGAGGTTGTTCCAAGTGAGCAGGACTGGGTTAGGTTCATCATACAACACGGAGCCTCGTGAGCTAAAGGGGGAGGGGCTTCCAATGGGGGATGGAGAACCCTGTGAACACATCTGCCAGGTTCTCGACACCTCTCACCACCACCACAGAGGTTCTCAACATCCCCGGTGGTGCCAGCAGAGGACACTCCTTTCCTTCCCTCTGAGGGACCCAGTGCTTCACAGAAGGAGGAGGGGATGGAAGGAAGAGGCTTTCCCAAGTCTCTATTAGGTGGACTCTTTAATGAATTGAGTGGCTAAGTGAGGGAGTTCTCCACCCAGACAATTCCAATGGGTTCCAAGGCATTTCTCGCTTTCCCTTGATCTCAGGATTTTAAGTAAAAGATGGACTTGGACTTTGGACCAGGAGATCTTCCTTTCTGACTGTTGATGGCATGAAATGTTTTGAGTAGGAAGTGATATCAGACGGACCTTCTTCTTTGCTCTTCCGGATCAGCCCCGCCTCCCCCATCTGCACAGCAGGTGACTCAGTGCAGCAGTGCAGGGGAATCCCTATGTGGCTCGTCATCCTTGGCCAGCCCGGCAGACCAGACTGCCTAGCTGGCTGGCACTGATAACCTGAACATGGTTAGCTTCTGGTGCACGCTGAGCCAAACCTTACCATGCAAGCAACACTCCCCAGATAACAGACCATTCCAAATTTACACAAAAGTGCATTTCACCATAATCTGTCCCATTCTCTTCTAAGTTAAGTCTCAGTGACTAAACAGGCTGGTCACCCTCTGTTAAGCTTTCTGTTTGTTTGTGCTAGCATGTCAGCCAGAATCTTCCCTGTTCCTGGCATGGTACTGATGGTCGTGTGTAAATGGATATAGTGTTGTGTGGCCACTGCTGCGATGCCTGCTAGCCTTCCTGGACGTTCAGTCTTGGACAGGCACACAAGTGAAGTCTGACTCAAAACTATCTGGCCAGAGTTTACCTAAGACCACAATAACTATGCCATGTTCTTTTTGTAGAGATGATAAATTCCTTTCCTGTGCTAACAACTTTCTATAAGAGGGATCATTGGAGTGCCACATTACTTGTGTCCTGACAATAGCCCTTTACCTACTCTAGTACCTAATGCATGTCACTAGATTTTGAAGAATTCAAAAAAATCTGAAAATCTCAGACCAACACCTCGAAGCCTTTTGGATATCTTGGTTATCTTTCTGTGAGACACTGTGAGTTCCATAGTATAAAAAGTAAACATGTTTAAAATTCTTTCATGCCTTCAAAATATGTTTCTAGATATTTGCCAGTTTTTTTTACAGCTGCAATGTTTATCTATAGTGGGGCTCATTTAGAGTTCCATGATTTTGAATATTTAGTCTTTATAAATCCAGCTCCATACAAAGCCATTCGTTTTATGGGTTACCCTGAATGCTGAAGGGAGGTGTCTAGATGGGCAGTCACATTTATACTTTGTATGATGTACGACTGGGATGTGAATAGGTGGCTTGGCAGGTTTCCCTGGTTCACACAATAATTCATTTGCCAGTTGTCTGGAAAAGGTAAGGGGGCTCCTCAGTCTATAGACAATAGGGTAAAGCATAAACTCACATTCTCCATCTGATGTTGCATAGGCTATTTTTAGTTTTGATTTTATTTTATTTTATTATTATTTTTTTATTTATGATAGTCACACAGAGAGAGAGAGAGAGAGGCAGAGACACAGGCATAGGGAGAAGCAGGCTCCATGCACCGGGAGCCCGACGTGGGATTCGATCCCGGGTCTCCAGGATCGCGCCCTGGGCCAAAGGCAGGCACTAAACTGCTGCGCCACCCAGGGATCCCTAGTTTTGATTTTAAAGACACTTGCCAAATCCCTGGATATAAATCAATGGTTGAAATGATCTTAAATTGATCTAACAGACCTTCTATCCTATGTTAGATATGCAGTGACTTAGTTATAGAAACCTTCATAACCTGCTTAAAATTTAACAGTGCTGTTTTGCTTTTGGAGTTGGGGCTTGTAGGTCTGATAAGTTCCAATCTTGACACTTCCTCAACCATGTGCCATGGCTTGGGGACCTCATCTCAGGAGGTGAGAAATACATCATTGAGAGGCAGGCCTCCCTCTACAAGCCAGAGTCAATTTCCATCATGGAGACTCCAGCCTGTGTGCATGTGCATGTGTGTGATGTGGCGTATGTGGGTGTGATGGGATGGGATGTGGGGTGTGTGTGTGTGTGTGTGTGTGTGTGTGTGTATTTTCCCATCAGCATCTTACATCTTGCATATCTTACAGAGGGATTCCTATGAATTCCAACATCTACAAGAGCTCTAAGTACCACGAATTGGAATGTCAGATCTCCAGGATGAACAGAAGTATTTACTTTATTAGGGCAGAGCATGTGTTCCAGACGTCTCTTAGAGACTATACAAATCTCAGACCTGAGCTTCAGTATTCCCCTGATGGGATGTTAGCTCTGGAACATACTCAAGATACAAATGCCCTCCTGAGGATCTCGGATGAGGAGTACATGAACTGCTCTGTCCCCTGAACAGAAGAATACTAACAGCCTCCACCAGCCATTGCCCATTCTCCAAGTCCTTGGGTCTGTCCTTGTTTTATTGCTAGACACAACTCAGAGACGGACCTTGATCCTTCTCCTCAACTCCTTAGTAAAGACGACTGGTTTCCTCCGACTGTACATCCACCCACCTCAAGAGTCTGCCCAGCACCTGGCCCGGGTCTAGACCTTCAACTACAGTGCCTCTAGGAGGGCATGCTTTCTTTTTTTTTTTTTATATTTATTTATTTATTTATTTATTTATGATAGGCACACAGTGAGAAAGAGAGAGGCAGAGACATAGGCAGAGGGAGAAGCAGGCTCCATGCACCAGGAGCCCGACGTGGGATTCGATCTCAGGTCTCCAGGATTGCGCCCTGGGCCAAAGGCAGGCGCCAAACCGCTGCACCACCCAGGGATCCCTTTTTTAATTTTTTTATTTATTTATTTAGAGGGCATGCTTTCTAACCAAAACTCCATCAGGAGCATCAGTTCAATTCTCCACTAGTGTCTCATGCCAAGTCTGAATACCCATCAGTACCATTCTGTAGAACAATATTCCTGCCCCCTGCTCTCCCTACGGCCCCCTGCAGCAATGCCCGTCACTGTGCTCACCATCCCAACATCCACAGAGGACAGGCTGCTCCCAGGGCCAGGAGGCTCCTGCAGACCCAGCTTGAGGTATATGGAATGTGTCTACCATCATGGACCATGCATGCTGCATCCACTCAATTGAGCTTGTCTGGATGCTCTTCATCTCTAGGTGGAGGACTCACAGCCGAATGAGACCAATTATGGTAAAGATCCATGCAAACTGGTAAGGGCTTCCACCCCCTTGAGAATGCCTGAATCTGATATGCATGTGCTCATCTGTCCTAGTATTCATGCAGAAACTGCTCCTTCCCTGGCTCCAGAACAACGAAGGCATCTGTGCCACATGCTTCCCAGCTTGGAGTGATCAGGGAAAGCCTTTCCCTCAGCTGCACCTGTGAGAGAGCTCCTAACTCCCCAGTTCCCCCAGACATGACAGCTGCAGGGCTCTTGGAGACACCTGACCCACTCTCTCCCCTTGCAAATTCACTCATTTGTTCCTTCCTTCATCTTCCACCTGGTGTTTACTGCAGGCTGAGCACTGTGCTGGGCCATGGCTATAAAATGGGGATCAGAGAATGTACACAAGTTGATAAGAAAACTAAATACACAAGCCATGAAACCTATACAATTTAAATTACAGCAAGTGCCATGAAGGAGAGGTAAGATGAGAGGGAGACTCAAGGAGGCCGGTCACAGAGAGGACTAACTTAGCTGGGCCCTCTCCCTCAGGCTGTACTGTCCTCCATTATCCCTTACTGGCCTCCCTGAAGAGGCTGATCTCCTTGCCTTCACACCTGAGGCCCTCACTGCTACAACCCAGGGAACAGAGAGCTGCCAGTCTCCAGGCCTAGAAAGGAAGACCTCTGGGTTATCATCATCAGGGAATCCAGGGCATCTTGGATGGGAGTGAATTTGAAACTCTTCTTCACAGGACCCCTAGGATCCCCCAGCTTCCAGCCAAGGCTCAATTTAAGCCCATTGTGGCTTTATGGTTCTGGGATGGGTGTGCAGGGACCATCTTCCATCCTCCTTGCTCAACAAAAACTACCTCAGTTGCTACCAAGATGTGTAACCACTTGGAACTGTGAATCTAACTTCCCAACTGTTAGAGGGGGCCTGAGCTGAGAGCTTAATCACTGATTCCTTCAGCAACTGTCCATGGGTGCCCGTATCCTGGGAGCTGCCTCGTCTAGGGCTCTGCCCTGCTGGGCTCAGCTGCACCCTCCAGGAAGGAAAGAGGACGCAAAGAGGCCTGGGGAGTTGCCGCAGACATAGGCAAAGGGTGGCACTTCTGCTCTCATTGTAAGCGTTT